AAAAAAAAAATTTTTTTAATAAAAAAAAAAAAAAAAAAGCTATGTACCCTTGCCAACTTCAGGCCTGGGTCCCAAACTGCTTTTGTCATTCTCATCATAACGACTTGCATGTTGCCAAATCCTGTGTTCTTATCTCACTTCTACCCTTGTCTTACTGCACTTCTTGTGATACCTGTGCATAGTTGACCACATCCTCCAGATATCTGGACACACCTTCCTCTGTGGGAGTTCAGGAAGCTCCACCCTCCTGGTGTTCCTCCAGCTCCTCAGACCCTGTTTTCTCTACTGGTGAATGCTGGAATATTCCAGGGCTGTCCTCCACCCTCTGATCTGGTTATGCTGTCTCCCGGGGTGATCCCTCCCAGCCTCATGACTGTTACATTATCTACATGCTGGTAACTCACAGATATAAATCTATAGCTCTCCAGGAGCTCCAGACATTTCTCCAACAACCATTTGTCACCTCCACTGAATGACTTACATCTCACACTTAACATGTCCAAAGCCAAACACAACTATTTTCCCCTAATCTATGCCTTTCCCAGTTGTCTCAGCAAATGACATCACCATCCACCCTAAGTCATCCTTAATTCCTTCCTGCCACTCACCCTCATATCCAGTCAGTCCATCAGCAAGCAGTCAGTCTGACCCATAAAGTAAACCCTGTAATTGATCGCTTCTCTCCATGTCCTTGGATACCTCCTAGCCAAGCCATCAACAACCCAGCCAGTGCCAACACTACATCAGCCAATTTTGTCGCAGCTTCCATTTATGCCTGCCTCCATCATGACCCCTACACAGTCTTCTTACTCAGGGACCAGAGTGACCTGTTTAAAAGATAAACCATTCTGTGTCTCTCCCTCCCTGGCTCAAAGCCATCTAATGGATTCTAACCCTAGAATAAAATTCAAAATCCTGACAATGGTATGATATAGCCCCCGGCTCCCTTTTCACCCCATCCCATACTACTTTCCCCAGCACACTGCCTGGCATTCACACGGGCATGTTGTCCTCAAAAATGCCAAACTCTTTTCCCATCCAAGGGCCTTTACTCTTTGTTTTTCTTCTATCTGGAATATCCTTCTCCAGATCTGTGTTTAGCTGACTCTTGCTCCTCATTGAAGTTCAGCTTAAATATCACCTCTTCAGAGGACTTTCTCCTGACCAGTTAATCTCAAGTGGTTCCCCCAGTCACACTCACATGGTCCTGATGGATTTCCTATTGATTTTCTGTGTGTTCTTTCTTTCCTAACTAGACAGTGAGCTGTTAGAAGGCAAGACCTGTATCTATGTTGTTCCTTCATATCTGCAGTGCCTAGAATAGTTCCCAGCACATGGTGGGCACACAATAAATATTTGTTGAATATCTAAATGAATAGAAGAAATTTTAGAAATAACCATTGTTCATGTTTTATATAACAGTACACACATGCATACACAGAAAGGGTTTATAGTTTTAAATATTTATTTGTCTAATCTTTTCTACCTCTAGATCTTTCCTAGTTCACACACCCAACATCTCTCACCTGACTGAAACAGCCTCATAACTGGGCTTCCCTCTTTAGATATAGAAATACCAAAAAAAAAAAAATAATAATAATAGGTTTAGACATCCAACAAAGCTTCATAGAGAAGTGATGTGATCAGATTTGCTTTTTTAGGCCAATAACTGTCCTCCATGTGGGGGCCATGGGGGAGGTTAGAGACCAGAGGCAGAAAGAGCCCTAAGCTGTAAGGTAGGACCAGGGCCTGAACCAAGGTGGGAGTGATACAAGGTAACAGGCTACAGGTTTAGATGTTTTAAAGTCTGAGGTAGAATTGATGCCTTTGGCTAGAAGTGGAGGATAAAGAGGAGGATACCTGCTACCTGGAAATACTTGGAAACCCAATAGTCCAGTGTTATAAAACCTGTTAGCCCCAGGCAAGTGGGACTAAACCCAGTGGGTCAAGTCAGCTCTTATCCCTTCTCTATACACTAACTTTAGAGCCTCTTCTCAACTCCCCTCTCTGGTCCCACTTCATGTGGACCAGGTAATAATCACAGGGTGTCTCAAATACAAACTATCTCTTCTGAAGCCCACAATCCCAGGAGGTAGTTAAGGTAGGTATTGTTATAAGCCGCAATTTATACATGACAAACTAATGGTGGTTTGCTCACAAGGCTAAGACTTGTGTCTTTGACTTTTCTAGCTCCAAAATCCATGCCTTGAGCTTATGATTTATTAACTCTCAGACCCCTCTCTCTCTTTCTCTCTCTCCCCTTCTCACGCACACAGACACACACACATACACTCACAGACATTTTAGAATCATGAGATATCCATTAATTTACACTCCACAGCTCCAAGAGAGAAATCAATCAGCAAATATTTATTAAGCAAACCCTTACAATGTTCAGGACAGTCTGTTCAATGCTGTAATAAATATAAAAGAAACACAAGACATGGTCCTTGCCCCTGAGGGATTAATTGTTTAATCAGAGATATAAAACCAACACATAAAACAATTAGTGCAGAATGGAAAGGTTGATTGCTGAGAGCTAAACATGTATGTGTTTCTATATGAGTTTCAGAAGAGGAAGAGACAGAGCTGCAATACAGAGACAGAGTCAGCCAAGGGTGGTATGATGGACACAAATGTCAGCTTTTATATCAGGCCTCACATAGGACTGACCCGAGCCTGGCCATCAGCCTTTAGGGAGCCGTCCTGGGAAGGGACCTCTTTGCCAAAAGATCTCTATCTCCCAAATATTTCTTTTTCTTATTAGGATTTATCAAGTTTGCAGCAAGTTATAAGTGATGAGGTTATGCAGAGGATTTTAAGACTGAGGGTGGTCCTTCCCTGAATGTAAATACTTGGAACCTTGCATTGTGTTGTCTTTAACTTTGGGCCCTAATTATTTCCATAATCGCTTGTGTTTCATAGTTCATAGTTTCGTAGTTATAACGTATGAATTTGGGAGATTGGGGAAAAAAGGCATTGAAAGCAGTTAAAACAGAAAAATGTAAGCCACAAGATACACAACTACCTCATTTTATCAGTCAGATTTACAAAAAGAACCTAGTCAAGCTAGTTTAAGCAGAAAAATAGTTAACTGATGTATATTTAGCCCCTTTCAGGATCTTCTGGAGGGCCAGAGAATCAAGCTCTTGCCATTCAAGAGTGGTGCCCAAATTATATCATCAGACTCTGCTAGTGGAAATGTTCTTGCTCTGGCCACTGGGCTCAGGCATCTCTGCCCACACCCCTGATGCTGGGCACAGGATTAGCCAGGACAGGCCACAGCCATCTTTGACAATTGAATGTCTGTCCCTCAGCATCCTTGCTAGAAGGAATTCTGCACAGCACCTCCTTTCTGGTGCAATTTGCATCCAAATTGACATCTTGCAGCTGGTTGTCAGAGCTTGAGCCACATGCCCATGCCCTAGCTGCAAGGGAAGCTGGGAAAGCAGCCCTGAGGGTCAGGAATCTTAACTTTGAGAAAAGGGCTGGATGGGCCCAAAGCTTTATAAACATCCACCACACCCAGCAGTCACTGAATATGCTACATGATAGAGTTTAGAGGACCCTTCGAGAAATTGGCTTCCTAAAAGTCCAAAATATATCAAAACAATTAAAAAATGGAACATCTGTCCTGGACGGGAGTTAAACTAGACAGAAAATAGGTAGTAGGCCAAATGGCACCAGGAAA